GAGGGCAGTTTGGGGGGACAAGGGGGGCAGTTTTGGGGGACTGAGAGTAGTCTGGAGGTATAAGTGGGGCAGTTTTGGGGGCACTGGGGGTAATTTTGAGGGGTTGGGAACAGTTTTAGGGGGCAGTTTGAGGGTCTGGGGGCAGTTCTGATTTGGGGGGGCTGAGGGCAGTTTGGGGGGACAAGGGGGGCAGTTTTGGGGGACTGAGAGTAGTCTGGGGGTATAAGTGGGGCAGTTTTGGGGGCACTGGGGGTAATTTTGAGGGGTTGGGAACAGTTTTAGGGGGCAGTTTGAGGGTCTGGGGGCAGTTCTGGGTGTCCAGGGGCAGTTTTGGGGTCTCACCAGGGCCGGGGGGAGGCTGCTCCTGCAGCAGCTGCTGCCGCACGTGCTGATCGACCTCGGTGTCCTCGCTCTCGGGGCCCCCCCGGCTCTCGGGGCCCCCCCTGCTCTCCGCCTGCTTCTTCTCCCGCGTCTTCCTCACCAGCGCCAGCCGGTCCCGGATGGATTTGGCCACGGCCTTGGAGTCGCTCTCGTGGAAGAACCCAGATTTCACCTGAGGGGGAGGAATTGGGGTGTCCAGGGGGGCAGCAAGAGCTGAGGGGGCTCAGGGTTGGTTCCAGAGGGAATTTTGGGGGGTGTTGGTTTTGGGAGAGGTCCAAGGTGAGGTTAAAGGATGAGTTCTGGGATGTCATTGGTTTTGGGAGAGGTTCAAGCTGAGGTTGAGAGATGAATTTTGGGGCGACTTTTGTTCTGGAAGGAGCTCAAGAAGAGTTGGAGGGATGAACTGTTGGGTTCCTGGGTGGATTTTGAGGTGTCACTGCCTTTGGAGGTGTTCAAGATGAGCTTGAGCCACAGTTTTGGAGGTTGATTGCATTTGGGCAGAATCAAGACCAATTAGGGGCCAACCCTGAGGATTTTTGGGGTCACTCCCTCACCATCTCATAGGCCACCTCCTCGGGGACATCGGCATCCAGGTTGAAGCTGAACTCGATGGCCTCGTTGTCCTTGTGCTTGCCCTTGAGCTTTTTGGGGTCCTCCACCCAGAGCCGCAGCGCCAGCGCCGGGTCCAGCCCCGCGTCGTCCTCGGCCAGCTCCACGCGCAGCCCCGTGTCCTCGGCAAAGAACGCGTGGTCCAGCAGGTCCCGGATGGACAGCCTGGCGTGGGGGTGGGGGGGGTGTGGTTAGTGTGGTCAGTCCTGGGGGGCCACAGGGGTCCCAGACCACCACCCCACCCCACCTCTCAGCCTTGTTCTGCCGGATGCAGCCCTCGATGATCTCCTTCACCTCGGGGTCCGTCACCTTGTGGAAACTCGCTGGCTTGATGCCCTGTGGGGGGACACGGTGACTTGGGGGGCTCTGAGGGAGGGTTGGGGGTCTCAGGGGCTGCTGGGACACCCACGCTGGTGACTTTGCGGTAGATCTGGGCGGCGTTCTGGCACTCGGAGTAGGGGTACTCGGACGTGCCCATCTCCAGCATGCACATCCCGAAGGCGTAGACGTCCACGGACTCGTCGTAGCGCTCCTCATACATCTCAGGGGCCATGAACTCGGGGGTCCCTGTGGGGTGGGCGGTCAGGGGGGGCCCTCAGGGGTGTCCCCGAGGTCCCCATGGTGCTCACCGATGACGCTCTTGGCGAAGGACGTGCGCATGAGCGTGGCCAGCCCCAGGTCGCCGATCTTGACGGAGCCGGTGGGGCCGGTGATGAAGATGTTGTCGCACTTGAGGTCACGGTGGATGATGGGCGGCGTCCTCGTGTGCAGGAACTGCAGCCCCTTCAGGATCTGCCGGCACCAGCTCCGCAGCACCTTCGGCTTCATCACCTTGAACCTCTTGAGGTACCTGTGCGGTCCCGTCAGCCATGCCCGGACCCCCCCCAGTGTCCCCCCGCGCCCCCAACTCACGTCTTGAGGGTGCCCGAGGTCATGAGCTCGGTGACGAGGACGATGCACTTCTTGCCGCGGAGTGAGGACTCCCAGGAGTCGTAGAAGCGGACGATGTTGGGGTGCTGCAGCCCCTTGAGCATCTCGGCCTCCTCCTTGAAGCGCTGCTGCTCTGCCTTGGTCAGCTTGCGGTCCTGGGGGGCACAGACACACCCCAAAGTCCGGCAGTGGCGCTGGCTCCGGGTTCCAGGGTCAGCGTTAGCAGCCCCCAGCCCCAGGATTGTCATAATTATCATCATCGTTCTCCAGCCCCAGAATCATCATCATGCCTAAACCTCAGGGTTGCTGACAGCCCCATCATCATCATCATCATTATCATCATCATCATCGTTATCCCACAACTCCACCACCATCATCATCATCACCATCATCCCCAAACTCCAGGGTTGTCATCATCATCACCATCATTATTCCCCAACCCCAGTATCACCATCACCATCATCACTTCTTAATTCCAGAATCATTGTCATCATCATCATCATCATCCCCAAATCCCAGGGGATCACCACCATCCCCATCCTCAGTCCCCAGGACCACCACTGACACTCCCAAACCTCCAGGATCATCATCATCATCATCAATGTCCCAACTCCAGGGTCATCATCCTCACCCCCAAACTCCATCATTGTCATTGTCATCATCATCATCATCATCATCATCATCATCATCATCATCATTATTCCCCAATTCCAGGGGGTAACAAAGCACTTTGGGGGACAAGTGGCTCCATTTGGGGGGAATTGATGGGATTTGGGGGGCATCATCATCATCATCATCATCATCATCATCATCATCATCATCATCATCATCATCATTGTCATTGTCATCATCATCATCATCATCATCATCATCATCATCATCATCATCATTATTCCCCAATTCCAGGGGGTAACAAAGCACTTTGGGGGACAAGCGGCTCAGTTTGGGGGGAATTGATGGGATTTGGGGTGACTGTGGGGTGCAGAGGTGGCAGAGGGGTCAACTGTGGGGGTCGTGGTGAATTTGGGGGTCTCAATTTGAGGGGCCAGTCAGGGGGTTCATGATGAATTTTGGGGTGTCTGAGTTTGGGAGGGGTTCAAGGTGAGATCAAAGAACCAACTGTGGGATTCACGGGAGGATTTTGGGGATCACTGATATCAGAAGAGCCTCAAGCTGAGTTTGAGGACCCACTCACAGCTTTGGAAGAAGTTCAACACAACTTCAAAGGCCAATCGGGGCTTCATGACAAATTTTGAGGTGTCCTCATCTTCAGAAGTGCCAAGAACCCCCTCAAAAACCCACCATCATCTCCCCATGACCCGAAAAAAGCCCAATTTCACCTCCCACCCACCAACTCACGACCCCCAACCCCCCCAAAACTCCGACCCCCGCGGGCTCGGGGCTCACCTGCAGCTCACACCAGGCCACCTCCACCCAGGTGTCGGTGTCGAAGCCCTTGAAGACCGTCTTGAAGGCGCCGCGCCCCAGCTCGATGTCGAACTTGAGGAAGCGGCCACCGGGCGAGGTGGCCACGGCCTTCATCTCCGCCTCCTCCTCGCCCTCCTCGCCCCCCCCGAGCCGGGGGTCGCCCCGCGGGCCGGGGTCGCCGCCGCGCTCGCCCCGCTCCTCCTCCTCCAGCACCTCCACGCTCTTGCGGAAGAAGCGTTTTGGGGGGGCGGGGGGGGACGCGGGAGTTTTGGGGTCCCCCAGATCGGCGGCCATGGTTGTCCCCACTCCCCCCCCACCCCCCACCCGACCGAAAATTTTAGGGGGTGACCCCCCCCGCCGCCCCCTCGC